CCCAATGAATGAACGGAGCTCATCAACATTGCTAGGTGAAGGAGCATTTTCGATAGTCTTAAACTTGGAATCTGTTGGGTGAAGGCCTTTATTGTCAATTCTGTGACTCAAATATTCAACTGATGGTTTAAAAAACTCACATTTTTGTGAATGGAGCTTTATGCCGGCAGCTTTAAGTCTAGGTAAGACCAAGTCCAAGTTCTGTAGATGAGTTGCATTGTCTTTCCCGGTTATCAGTAGATCATCTAAATAGCACGAGATTCCAGACAAGCCTTACAAGATCTTTTCAATCTCTCGTTGGAATATAGCGGGCGCTGACGCAACTCCAAAAGGCAATCTTGTGTAGCGAAACAGGCCTCTGTGAGTGTTGATAACGACTAAACTACGTGAGTCTTCATCTAACTATAGTTGGCAGTAAGCGTCCCGAAGATCTAACTTTGTAAAAGTTTCACCACCTGAGTGCAAAAAGGTCCCCGATTCGTGGCAATATTGTTCCAGCTCAATTGCTTGATTAACTGTCAATTTAAAGTCCCCACAGGGACGAACACGACCATCATGCTTCAGCACTGGCACAACAGGGGTAGCCCATTCTGAAGTCTTGACCGGTTCTAAAATTCCTTTTTTCAGTAACCGGTCTATCTCCTTCTCTATCTTGTCTCTTAAAGCATAAGGCATTGGGCGTGCTTTGAAAAACTTAGGCTGTGCAGACGTTGATGAAGATGTATCTTCGTTGTCTTCACTAGGCCTAACTCATCTGAAAAAATGCACTGATGTCTTTCTAGAATTTTCTTTAGTGAAAGGTCTGTCTCTTCCGTCTTCGAAATTGCATTTGTTGATTCTTGGACTGCTGACATCAATCTTAATGGGGAAAACCAATTTCTCCCTGCCAAATTTACAGTCCCTTGCTTCACCACTAACAGTGGCAGAACAGCTTGATTGGAATTACACTCCACTTGAACATCCATACCTCCCAGGATTTCTATTGGATGTTTTGTGTATGTTTGCAACTTGATTTCTGTTTTTCGCGGAAAGACGTGTGCAAGTCTGACATACGTGGCTTCTGGAATGAAGGAAACGATGCACCAGAATCAAGCTCCATGCATATTTCCTGACCTTCAACTTGGCATAACACCTTTATCGGTGGCGGAGCTTTTGCCATCATATTAGTAAGATTGTGTAAATCATACTGCGATGTTCCTAATTTCTGGAGATTTACTTCTTGCAATTGATGTATCCTATTTCTAGGGCGTGTTTCATCTTGTTTTATTTTTGCTTTGATTGGCAAACTCGAGCAATGTGGCCAGTTTTCTGACAAGTGTGACAGGTAGCATCAATAAATCGGCAGTCAGGAGATGTGTCGGGAATTTCCACAACGAAAACATTTTGTTTTCTATTCCTCAGAATTCTTGCTTTTCGATATCTGACTCTTCGGGCGAACGCCGCTATTTTGAATAGCACATACATCCACAGGACTTATCTTCAAATCCACTGCATTACGCGCGGCTGCTTCCATAGACACCGCGATCTCCGTAGCGTGTATTAGCGTGAGCCCAGTCTCTGAAAGCAGCTTCCGTTGGATCGCTTGAATTCCACATACGATGCAATCCCGCAGCATCGTATCAAGAGATGCTTCGTAATTACAATGCTTTGTTAATCGACGTAATTCTGCAATGAAGGTGGCCACTGATTCTCCTGCTTCCCTAATCTGGCTATTGAACTTGAAACGCTCAACGATTTCCGAAGGTACCGGATCAAAATGTTCATTCAATGTTGTGATCAGCTGCTGTAATGTTCTCATGGTCGAAGTTTCCGGAGAAAGCAAATCTCGTAGAAGCGCGTACGTCGCGCGTACGGCCCGACAACCGTTAAAAAAATGGCGCGTTTCCGATTTGCATCGTCTATACCGTTAGCAACAAAAAATTGCTCTAACCGCTCCGTGTACTGAGTCCAGGATTCCACTGCACTCGTAAACGGCGATATTTCCAAACGCAGCCATTAAGCGGGAGAAAAAAGCGTATTTAGATTGTCGCTGTTAGGCCTAATCGTAGCAACCCACCGCCGCTGAGTTCTAGAGTTAGAAAGAATTCTTTTACCAGGCAACTTTTATCCCATCCTCGTCGTCACTGAAGTATTTTTGGGATGTTGACACAACAAAATGAATTACTGACAAATCAGGATTTACTGTGGCTTCAATCATTCTGATACATATATGATCAGCATCTTCGCATGCAAAATTCCAACAGGAACCAGGCTGTGTCGATTCCTGTAGAAGCATCAAAAATCAAGATGGCTCTCGATGGCGCCATCTATCGCACAATATTACAACAAAGGCCATATTTAAGTTGCCGTCTTTAACTAAGAAAAACGCACGAGAACTACAGCAAATTGCGAATGATGCTTCACGACATGTTTGCGCCTTAAAGGCTATTGAATCCAACCGACGATCGTTGGGATCGATCTTCTTATTTATATTCTTAGGTCTAAATTTGATCCAACCATAGCGTGAGAATCGCAATCATCACTTCAGGGCTCAGAATTGCCCTCATTGAAGCAATTTCTTGATTTCGTGGCTCGTCGCAGTCAAGTTCTCGAAGTCACTAATAAGATAACAGGCATCACGACAAAGAGTGTCCCATTATGACAGCACGTGAATACTAAACAGGCTTCATGCATGGCTGCCGTCAAAGTAAAATGTTTTTTGCCAAGATGAACATGCAATTTACCAATGCAAACAATTTTTAGATCTACCGAAGCATATAGAAAAAGCTCGCACAAATTATGCTTGAATTGTCTACGCTCGGCTACTGATGCTTCGAGCAAATGTCCATCAGGGAATTGTAGGATTTGTTCTCTCAAATATAATACTTTACTGCATATCCAAGCTATGCACTCTCAGCAACGTATGTCATCCATCAATGAAAAGAATGAATCCAATTCCATGGGATCATCTTCCATAATTTCTTCGGATGTCATAGTCTCTCATGCTTCCAACTCTTACGGCAGTAAATCTGTAATTCTTTTCACTGCCGTCGCTCTCGCTCAAGCCAAGAACGGCTTTCATGAATATTGCCGCATACTTCTGGGTTGTGGATCTCAAGCCAATTTTTATATCTCGCGACTTTATGAATAGCCTAGGTTTAGTTCCGCAACCGGTGGATATATCTATTTCCGGTATAATGGGAACAGCCACACGTTCTACGGAGACAGTACAATTAACATCGCGTTCTCGACTAAACTCTTTTTCCACCATCATCGAATGTATTCATTTGTGTCACGGATATTATAACTAATAATATTCCAGGAATTAAAGCGATCGGTTTTCAATCTTCCACGTAACATTGAATTGGCCGATCCTGAGTTTCACATTTCATCAAAAATTGATATTTTAATCGGCGCAGAAATATTTTGGGATTTAATCTGCATAGGTCAAATTGAAGCCTCTCCTGAACATCCAACGTTATAAAAAACAAGATTAGGTTGGATCCTTGCCGGCTCTCCCAGCCTGGGAGGCTATGCAATACCGCAAAAAATTCATTCACTCAAAGTCCTTGAAAGCAATTCTAAACTGCATAATTTATTCCTCAAGTTTTTGCACATTGACAAGCTTCATAATAACACGGTTAACTACACTCTCGAAGAGAAATCATGTGAAAGGCATTTCTTGGAATATGTTTCTCGGAACATTTATGGTAGATGCATCATCAAATTGCCTATTAAAGAATACATAATGAACAATCTGGGTGACTTCAGAGAAATTGTGCTCAATCGTTTATATAATTTAGAAAAACGTCTTAGATCCAATCCTAATCTAAGAAAACAATATTCTGAATTTATGAAAGAATATATTGCGTTAGCTTAAA